TGATTAATATACTCACATATACATATACACAGACCAGACCCAAGAGTTTGAAAATACAATAGCCCATATAGGTGAAATGATGGAGATCAGGCTGGGTTTATTATGAAATGCTAATTTTACAGCAGTCAAGATGCTGACTGCCTTTCGTGTGGTGAGGGGCAAGGACACTTGCCTCTATTTGCTTTAGGACAGCTCCTTGCAGATAGAGCATATTTTGATCAGCTGACTATTTTTATAGGATAGTTAATGGAATTTGAGTAAAGAATCTTTGCAAGGAAACATTTTCATAATTTGTATTTGTAGCTTAAGCATGGCTTTAGGATATATGTGAGTTTTTCATAATTTTGTTTTGAAACCAGTCATAACAAATAATTGTGAATAGGCAAAGGTCTTTTATTTTCTATTTCTCAGGAACTTTATTATATTAAATTCATATATATTAGGAAAGTCAGGATGTATTTTTCTATACAAAAATGATGTCATGGCTTTTCCGACAACCCCATATCTGAATTTAATATACACATAGTTTATTATGAATAATTGGATCACATGATAGTTGAGAATGACACGTGCTACTATCTAACATCAGCAAGCTGGAGACCTGAGGGACCTAGTGGTGTATTTAAGTTCCAGTTTGCATACAGAGGCCTGAAACCAGGAGGACTGAGGGCATAACCTCCAAGCCCAAAGGCCTGAGTCCTGCATGGCTAATGAGTGGTAGAAGCTAAGGTCTTAAGCACAGTTTGTTCTTTCCCTTGGACCTTTTGCCTCATTGGTGGGTAGTACCTTCTGAAGGACTGGAGAAATAAGTAGCTCTCTGCCCTTCTTTGGGGCCATAATTTCCACAAGTATTTACTGATATTTTCTACTTTGGTTTCCTTTTTTTAACATTAAAAAAAAAAAATTCAAGGATATCACATCCTTTTTGCATTTTAAAGCCACAGAATTAAAACATATGTACTTTCCCAAATATATCTCTCACTAACTACTCAGTGATTGTGATTTCTCAAAGTTACAGAGCAGGATAGAAGGTTCCTGGGAAATTGAAAGGACAGATACAATCTTTTTCTGCCTAAATACCTTTCTTTTCTTTTTTTCTTTTTTTCTTAAGACCGTTACTGTCATTTTGAATGACGTTATAAATTGCAGAGACTCATTTTTCTATTTTAGCAAATACACTGATTTTTGTTTGGTAAGATTTTGTTCTTAAGTTGTGTATTTCCATTTTCCTAAAGGGGAAGATACTTAACATTGCATCAGCTCTCAGTAACTAGGAAGCACTTCTGTTCTGATGAATGTGGCTGAAGGGGTAATTAGCCCCAATCTGTTGAATCCCTGTACTTGCACAGCCCTGCCTGTGATATGGCATAAGACTTGTAAATGGTATGCAGCTGTTATTTTTTTAAATGGAAATTTTTGCTGTAGGGCACATGTGCTCACCAGAGAGACGGAGGAAGACAGAGAGACCCCCCCCCCCCAATAGGGAGGGCCACACAG